GGCCAGTTTCCCGTCATCGGATGAATGCCATTGGAGTCTGTCCTTCCAATTGTTTTTGGTGGTCTGATCTTCGGTTTTGGATCTGGTGGCGCTCAATTTCGTCCTATTCGATTCCGACGAGCTTCGCCGGAGAATCCTGCAGATCGACTAGATCCGGCTGGGATAATTAGCAGCACTGTTTCAGACTTCAGTCATGTTTGAGATCTTCTGTGTTTGTTTGTTGCAGTGAGGATTTCCGATTCGAATTACAGACACAATGGCTGGTAAATTCATTTACTAGCTTGCTGAAATTTCCTGAAATCGAGCATCGGAGGATCGTATCACTTATGTGTTTCTTTTCTCATTTTTCTGATATCAGGAGAGGTGGTGAATTCAATGGTCCATGAAAAGGAGAGAGGTAACAGAGACTGCAATATTTTGGAAATTGAGACATCTGAGGACGAGAAAAGAAGAATCCGAGGTAGATCTCTAAAGAAGAAGGCAATGACTGCATCGACAAAGCTTACGCATTCTTTCAGGAAACGCGGCAAACGTGTAACTGATTGCCGTTATGCAGCTATTTCCATTGAGGATGTTAGGGATGCCAAGGAGGAGGAAGCCGTGAATGCTTTTCGCCAAGAACTGATTGCAAAAGATCTGCTTCCTGCTAGTCATGATGATTACCACACTATGTTGAGGTAACTAAACCCTTGTCCAGACTCCAGATACTCAAACAGTACAATATATTTTCTGTGATTGGTTCGCATACTAATACAACACGAAGGTTTGATAATATAATTTGGATCATCCCACTGAAGCAAAGCTGTGATAGGTCACTTATGTGATTCTGTAAGAAGGTGGTTGAGTTTTCAATCCATTTGATAACTATGAATTGTTACAAATGGAAATCAGGTTGAAAGTTGAATTTATATTTTCATTCCTGAAAATGAGGTTAAATCTGCAAGTGATCTTGAGTTTGCCAATGGATCTTGATTTTCTATTGTTTGTCTAAGAATTGGTGATTGTTTCTGAATCACCAAACCAGTGGAGGAATTTATAATTATTATGCATGACATGGATGCATGGTGTGGAAGAAAATCTCGAATTTTTATGCATACTTACATCACATTGCCACAGAGATGATAGATGCAATTCAATAAAATCCAAATCAGTATTATTGTAAATTACTACTATACATCTTGCTCTTTTTTTTATTCCTCTTTTTTTTCCTCTCGCCCTTCCTCCCTCCATCAAAAATATCTATCCTGTTGTGGAAATCTTTAATTTCCATTTTCCTGCAGATTTTTGAAGTCAAGGAAGTTTGATGTTGATAAAACTTTACACATGTGGGCAGAAATGCTCAATTGGAGGAAAGAGTATGGAGTAGATTCCACAATACAGGTAAAAGAAGAATTCTTTAGGCTTTTGTCAAAGAAGTTGTCTCTGAAAATTGTATGAACCTGCCTTTTCTGTTGGTAAATTGTTTGCTTAATCTAAAAATGCCTTAAATCTAATGGATAATACAACAATCCATATGCAGGATTTTGTATATAAAGAATTTGAAGAAGTCCAGCGTTGTTATCCCCATGGGTACCATGGTGTTGACAAAGAGGGTCGACCTGTTTACATTGAAAGACTTGGGAAAATTGACCCTGTGAAGTTGATGAATGTCACCACGGTGGATCGATTTTTGAGGTATCATGTTCAGGGGTTTGAGAAGACTTTTATGGAGAAATTCCCAGCATGTTCTATTGTTGCCAAGAGGCACATAGATTCTACAACAACAATATTAGATGTGCAGGGGTTGGTCAGTATCCATGAACTACACACCATAAGCAAATTGTGCTCCATTGGTTTTTCTCATTGTTTTCATGATTATGCAGAACTGGATTAGCTTTGGCAAGGCTGCACATGATCTTGTAATGCGCATGCAGAAAATTGATGGTGATAATTATCCTGAGGTGGCTTATTTGTTTACACAAAATTTCCAATTTGGTAGTGTATAAAAGTCCACAATTTTTACTGACATTAGCTGTGTCTCAACAGACATTACATCAAATGTACATAGTAAATGCTGGTAATGGCTTCAAATTGCTGTGGAACACCGCAAAAAGCTTTCTTGATCCAAGGACTACCGCAAAGATTCATGTATGAGAATATTGGTACATGTTCTTTTTGTTTACTTTTGGAGGTGGCAATATGGACTAATTTCTTTTCTTCTCTGTTGTGCAGGTTCTTGGCAACAAATTCCACAATAAATTGTTGGATATTATCGATGCCAGGTTGTGATTTTTTCTGTATCATTTCTGCAATGTATTCCCACCAGCCGGATTCTGACTCTCTTTCCTTACCTTATTTTTATCTCCAAAGCAGCCAATTGCCTGAGTTTCTTGGTGGAACTTGCTCTTGCCCAAATGATGGTGGGTGTCTGAGATCTGGTAAGGGACCTTGGAATGACCCAGAAATTATGAAGGTATTGAACCTAGGCTCTAGCTACTCTCTAAAGAAAGATGATTTAGTGAGTTGGTAGCTTTCCTCATCATTCTTTATAAATGTTTTTTTTGGGAAACGTACGCATACTAATGCCTTTTATTTATGACATACGCATCTCATGCCCATTAATAAGCTCATTGCAAATCTTACATTTGCAGCTGGTACAATTGGGAGATGCAATGTACTTGAGTAAGGGAAAAGCTTCCTCTGATGATGACAATCTAGGAATCAAATTACTTTCGTCCAAGGTTTTATATTGATTAACGAACTAGTCTTTTTCTCATGTTTGTGCTATGCATCTTGTTTTATGTGGATTGGTTCTTTAGCAGGATGCAACTAGCGAAATATCCTTTGCTGATTCAGGACTGGATGTGAGATCAGATGCTTCAAGCTTCACTCAATTAGCATCACTTTCTGATAAAGTAAGTTTCAGGGTGATTAGTTGTTTTTGTACACTTTGAATAAGAATGTTTACTTGATGCAAACCTTGAGTTTTCTAGAATACAACCATGCAGAGATATTTTTAAAAATTTGTTTACTCATCCTTGTTTCAGGGAAAAACAAGTTACTCTGCTTCTATGGATCACCTCATTGAAACAGATAATGAGGCAGTAATTGAAGAAGCTAGTGCACTAAGTAGGTGATCACAGCCCAGGTTTTTTTTTTTTTTTTTTTGTTTAAGCATTGCATTTGTTCTCAACTGCTTACGTTAATGATTTAAATAAAAAAATGAGTTCATTATTGGCCAATAAAAAAATACAAGTTCATTATTTATCTTTTTCCCTCCATTATTTTAACTGTTGTGAGACAGTTGTCCAACATACTGCTTATTTTGGCTTAATGGAGAAGTCATAATTGCTATCATATAATCTAATAAAGATTTTAATTAAAGCAAATTTAAGGATAGGATAGCAGCAATTTGTATGGGAAACCATACTTTATCAAAAGGTGCCATGTTTTAATTGTTGTGAGATGACTACTCAATTTCAATAAACTGCTTATTTTGGCTCAATGGCAATGTCATAATTTACTATCATATAAATCTAACATATATTTTGATTAAAGCAAATTTAAGGATAGTATAGCAGCAATTTGAATCAAAAACCATATTTAATCAAAAGGTGCCATCAATTTGCTTAGATAGCATAATAAAATTATGTTTGCAAAAGAATAAGCAATATTTAGAGGCTTTGAACATATTTTATTAATGTTCTTTTAAAATTTTCATGATGTAGAAGCTTATTTCTTATTTTAGTTACCTAAGGACTTGTCCAAGGTTCCTTAATGTCCAAACCATTTCATTGAAATTTACATCTAAATATCACTGAAGTTATATCATTTACTGATATCGTTTTATTCATAAATATTATTTTCTCTATCACGGTGCCATAGCCTCTCATTGAGAATGTTAACTTCTTCTCTTCTATGCTACATCCTAATTTACTGCTTTGGCAGATAATGCACAAGGAAAGCCAGTGAAGGAGATTGTCAGCCATGTTACAAGACTACTATTTTGCTCTGTACTCAAATTGCTGGCATGGTTTATTTTCCTAATCCTTAGACTTGGAAGATCATTTTTAGTGCAAGATGCAAAAAAGCAGTTAGGAAACCAGTCAAATACCGCGTTGACAGATTCAAGGCCTCAAAAGAAATACATGCAACCAAAAGTTGAAGAAGTATCACTGCATCCATGCTGGCACAGGCTGCAACATTTAGAAACAGTGGTGGCTGAGCTCATCAACAAACCTACAAAAATACCCCCTGAGAAGGATGGCATACTCCTTGAATCCATGAGTCGCATAAGATCCATAGAACAAGATTTACAGAAGACAAAGAAAGTATAACCCCCCTTCTATAATTGTTGGTTACTTTGACTTTTTTGTGCTACCCTGGAGCAATTATGTCTGCCCCAAATTTTACCTTTTTCTGCCTAGTACTGAACACAGTCTTTCATTTTGCAGGCATTACTTGCAACTGCATCAAAACAAGTGGAGCTTGCTGAGTCGTTGGAAAATTTGAAGAATGGCTTTGCTGTAAGTTCCTGTTTTCTTTGGGGTTGAAAATGGATAACTAATTACTTTAGCAAGTAACGATAAAAATCAACTTTAAAAGTCATTTTGTAACCCAAGTTGAATCACTGGAATGATCTTGGATAACCAGGATCTAACCTTGCCATGCTTGCTACATCATATTTTAGTTATCAAAGATCCTCAAGTGTTCTTGACTAGCCTGTTTAGCATATGCTGTGAGAATCTAAGATCTTTGGCCATGTAATACAGAAAAATGTCACTGGAAACTCAGTTTATTTTCTTTTATTTGATTTCATTAGGGAAAATGTGCAAGGAAAAGTTGGCATACCCTACTTTTTTGTTTACACTTGTATGACATTATATGTGAGTGCTGATGGTATCAGGAATTCTTAATTAGCAGGTAAGAAACTCTTGTTGGCCAAGACACAGCAGATCTTTTGATGCGGGAAGATGAGCATGATAATTGCCAAGTTTGCTGATACTGACTCTTAAATTATGCTGAAATGAATACATTGGGATTCATTTGCTCGATTCAAGTAGGTTATCATCTCTTTTACGTTTTAGTGATTCAAGATTATCTCATCACCTCCGCTCTATCACAATTTTGTTCATTTCTCAATTATTTATTTAGGTTCTTCCAATCAACAGTTAAAGTTTATTCGAAAAAGTTGTCAAAGCCGTGAACTGGAGAGCTATTATATCAAGTAGGGCCATCAAAATCATTTCTTCAGGATCGACATGGCAGCAACACAGTAGTTCATAATTTCATCCGAGTTTCTGTACATAGTTTACAGTATATCACATTTTAATTTTTTTTTACACCTTTTATTCAGCTTTTTTTGATCAGGCTGTCACATGGTACAAAATCAGACCTCACATGTGTTCAGTTACAATAACAAATATTTGAACAACAGTTATTACGCTTGCAGTATTTTGTATTTGGAGAGACTACATGGTGCTCAAGAGTCGACATCTCAATTTCTAGTTCTAAGTGTCGAATACAGAAGATGTTGTTTCGAAATAAGCAGGCTCTACAGTCTTTATTATATTTTCTTTTCCTTTGGTGGTTCAGTTCTGAATTTCTAATGGGCTTTTATGATGTTGGACACTTAGCTGGGATTTACGGACAAGAGCATGACCCAATTGTTCTTCACTGACTTAAGACTTTGATTTGGGTCAGGTTAAAGTTCAAACCATGTAATCTCGAGCAGTCACCACTGAATTCAGTTGTTTAAAATAATAATAATAGTAAGTTGTACGTGAACTCACCTGGATCGTGTACTTATATAAATAAATATGAAGTAAAAGTTTATTATTTTAAAAGTTAAATTATATTAAATTATAAACTAATTATTATTAAATAAAAAATTTAAATTGAATTATCTTCCATTCAATGGTTTCATTCTCAAATTATAAGTGTTTGAGTATAATTGATTGAGAGTTTGATTTTCATTAATGCCTTGAAAACAAATATCTTCTTCTCTCAAATTCTTCCATGTTCAAAAAATAAATAATTAATTAAAATTTATAATATTACAAAATTTACTTTGATATAATAATTAAAATTATAAGACCTAAAACAAATTAGACTAATTTTTCTTTTTTTTTTTGTTTATAAAGGAATAAATCATTGAATCCATTGAACTGATTGAAGTATTTCTACTCCCAGTTGGATTTCCGGATCCGGGTTCGGATACTTTTGCACACTGAAACCATGATCCAACGGAACTGAAAAACCACAAAATTCTCAAGCCGCTGGCGATCTACCACCAGTACCACCGCCCCAGGAAAAACCTGCAATAAATCCACCAAGCGCCGCCCTTCCTTTCGTCCTCCCTACTCGCTAACCCTAACCCTAACCCTAATTACCCAACTGTCATACCCATTTCCCGCTAAGCCCGAAACCATGATGACAACCAGAAAACCCCAACCCGTTCCCTGGACTCACGAAGGGACCATCCATCTCATCCAAGCCTACCAGGAGAAGTGGTACTCCCTCAGCCGCGCCTCCCTCAATGTCAGCCAGTGGGAAGAAGTCGCCAGCACTGTCACCGCCCGCTGCGGCCTCGCCGACGAAGATGCTAAGTCAGCCACCCAGTGTCGCCACAAGATGGAGAAGCTCCGCCGCCGCTACCGCGCTGAGCGTCAGGGTCTTGGCGGCTCCTCTTCTTGGCCCTACTTCCACTCTATGGACGAGCTTGACCGTGGTCCGTTTCCCATATCCGCTCGTCCATTGACTTTTGTTCCTGGTAGAGATGATGGAAATCATGAACATGGCCTCACAGAGGATGACAGTGACATCAATGAGGAGAACGTTGATGAGTATGATGTTGGCTTTGAGGATGATGACAAGGGTTTTAGTAAGTCTAGGAGCATCAATTATTTACTCCAGAGGCCTAGCGTTGTGAATAGGTTCTCTGGGTTTTTGCAGAACCCAATGAAGAGGCAGAGAGTTGAGGAGGAGGAGGAGGAGGAGGAAGTGGTGGGGGCAGAAGTGAGGAGAGGGGGATCAGAATTGGCAATGGAGATAAGGAAATTCGCGGAGAGGTTTGCTGGGATAGAGAGGATGAAGATGGAGATAATGAGGGAGACAGAGAGGCATAGGATGGAGATGGAGAGCAAGCGGATTGAGATCATTCTTGACTCACAGAGGAAGATTGTAGATACGATTGCCAGGAGTTTTGGGTCTCCGGAAGAGCTGTCAACTTCAAGGTTCATGTGATCACTTCATTTTCTTGGTTCCAACGATCTCCAGCAGAATGTTACCAGCTTGTATAGACAATAGCCAGAATCAACAAATTTTTGAAGTGGTTTTTTGATTATATGATGAAGTTGTTTCTCTGTATATTTCCTCTTGCTTTATCTTTCTTGGAAAATAATTTGGGAACCAACTTTTTTGTATGACTTTTTTTCATTCAATAATTAACTCTTGTAATAGCGGTGATATTATTTTCATTTACTGATTTAATGGCATATTAAATTATAAAATAAATGCGCAAATAAGTTTTTGGCATATCATTACCCACGTTTCTTGTTTATTGTTACCCCAAGGAAATTTTGTACATTGTGCACTTGATATCCTATGGACAAAGTTTATCTGCTAAGCCTCATGAAGCTTCTTTCCGGCGCCAGAACTTGTAAATGTGGGTGTGGACATGGCTATCAGACTATTTGTTAAGGCCGCTAAATTTGTATTAAAAAAATAATAATATTATTTGATTTAATTTTTAAGAATAATTCAATCAATTAATATTTATTATTTAATAAATTAAAATTAATTTATAAATTCATATTTTTAAACATTATAATCATCTATTTAATAAAAAACTATAAATATTCATGGTATTAAATACAATTTTGATAGCCTTAATAAATTAATTACTGACCATAAACACACCCTGTAAACGTATCTGCTGTAAGTGAGCAGATTTGAGGATGGCAATGTATCTTCTTTGCCGATTGTACCCAAAAAAAAAAAAAAAAAAATTTCCAAGTGCAAGGTATAAAGTTAAAAGCTTGAAATGGAATGTGATTTTATACAGTATAGCCAGTTAGAGGAAAGAGCCATTGAATGCACTACATAATCTGCAATCGTTACACATTTCAATAAATTCAATGGGTTGACAAAGGCAGTGGACAGACGCCGATCTTCATAGGCAAAAAGTGTATACACTAGAAACCCTATATTCACAAAATTTCCGAAGGCTTCGCCCATTAACAATGATTGCTACCCAATTGATCTGGAAAGGGTAATAATACATGCGCTATCTACTGGTGCAAAAAGAAATGTGGTTCCCTGCACTAGAGCAAGGAAACCATGGCAGTGCCGGAGAGAGAAAGTACAAGAAAAGGGAGATGAGACCCCTGTACAAAATAACTCTATATCTGTCTCCATCTTCCCAATAACCTAAGCAGGTGGTAATGTACATGACTCCTAAACAAACAAAATGGAAACGGCACAGCATCGCTTCTGTGAATTTCTAACCTGCAATTAACGTCCATTTTGCATTTTGAAATGTTGTAACCAGCTTCATCTGCATGTAAACCTTAGTAATGTCAGCGTTCATTTCTTCTTAATTTAGAGTCAGAACACACGGCATTTATAAATCACTTGTGGACAAAGAAAAATGAGATGCTGATCTTTATTAAGGAAAGGATTTAAAAAAAGAGGAAAGAAGGATGACAAAAAAAATGAAAGATCCAGAAAATGAAATCAAGCAGTAAAGTTAAGAGAGATTGAAGATAGCAACAGCAAACGTCTATAACTTCACATCATAAATGTGTCAGTTATGGCAAAGAAATATTTCATGCTACCGTAATGCAAGTCAAGCTATAGATGTATGCAGCTAGAAAATTAAGTCAAAATTACCTGTACACTGGTGTTACACAGGCATGCCAACCCAATCCTAGTAGCACCGGCTGCTTGGAACTCCTCAATCCATAGATTGCTCATTCCGTCTTATAATTGGAGGGCTTGTGATACAAACTACTCTGCACTGCTTGCAGATGCTGAATTTGTTGATGAGACTGCTGCTGAGGAGGCAGCTGTTCTGCTGATTGATGCTGATCTTGTTTTACTTGCTCTTGAGAGTGGTAGTGTTGCTGAGATGGCTGCGGTGTAGGAGATTGTATATGTGGCTGTTGCTGCCACTGTGCCCCAGCATTATGCCCTTGAGGGAGCAAGCCACCTGATAATTGCCTCTGGCCCAACCCTTGGCTGGCTGAAGTTACTGGATCACTCCCAGCTGAATTTGAAAAAGGTGAGCTACCAATGGATCCCATTTGAGCAGCCATGTTTGGCATACCAGAATCATGCCCTGGTTCTGTAGCCTTCCACTGAGGAGCAGCAGCAGAAGAAACAACTGGCATTGCATTAGCTGAATCATTGGAAACCTGAGGCATTGCTGCAGTTGCTGTTGCGCCCACCAGGGATGCAGTGGTCACAGGCTGCTGATCAGCTTGTGGTTCTGCTTGTGATATGTTTGATGGATCAGGATGCGTAGATCGATTATGTTGAAGCACTCTCTGAATAGTTGGTTGAGTTTGATTAGCTTGCTTTTGGTGTGGCTGTGACTGTAAATGCAAATGCTGGTGGTTGGAAGGCACGACTGTGGGCAGCAGGGCTTGATGAGCAGCTGATGGTGAATGACCAGAAGGAATTGCAGAAACCTGGCCTTGAGTACTATTCTCAGAATGAGGTGGCATCTGCTGGGTTTGCTTGGAAGGGGGTGTTCCAGAAAAACTCTTCTGCTGTGGCTGAGGATGATTAGAAGATTGTGATGGCACTAGTGGTTTGGATGGTTGGACTGGGCTCATGCCAGAAGCAGAATAGAAGCCTTGACCCTGCACTAAGTGCATTATGTGCTCCCCTTTCTCTGCAGTTTGGTTACCTGGGGCCATGGAAAGGCCATTCAGGGGAGAAGGATCACCAGAATGGTGCATAAGCATATTCACTCTTCCCATTCCTTTTGAAATTTTAGCCTGTTGTTGAGATGGTATTTGTTGCCGCTGCTGAGGGTGGTTCCGGCCAGATTGTTGAAATTGCTGTTGCTGCTGTGGCTGTCGCTGCCGTTGCTTGACCATCTGATTGGTCAAACCACTGGTACCAGATTGAGAGATCCGAGTAAGATTATGTGGTGGCAAGTGATGTTTCTGTTGGTGAGGCGACGGCACAGGAGCCATTGGTGATGATGAAGTAAGTGAGGGCGGCGTTACAGACTGATTTGAGGCTTGTGATTGAATCTGGGAATTATTTTGAAGAGAAGAAGATATCGGAAGTTGGGACTGTGGTTGGACGTGTGGCATCAAAGAACTGGATGCAGCAAACTGCTGCTGTTGTTGTGGCTGTTGTTGCTGTTGCTGCTGCATTAGACGTTGCTGTTGAATTTGCCTTTCTTTTACCAGGCGCATTGCATAGGGTTGCGGCTGCGGTCCTGTCACATTGGGACCTTGAAGATGAGGATGATGGGAATTGCTCATAGCATGTGACTGCTGGGATGGAATTTGATGCTGTGGCTGCTGGTGGTGGTGGTGGGGATGGCCTGGATATGCCTGTGTGGGCATTGTGGTTTGATTAGGGAAACCAGAACTTAATCCACTAAAAGCAGGAATACCCCGGCTAGTCCCTTGTGTAGCTTGCATCTGAAGCTCTGGTACCATCAATTGCCTTTGGTGCTCTGGATTATGGCCAGACTATCACACAAATAAAAACTGTTGTCAGAATCTGAAAGTACTACTGTTGCATCAATCACATGCAAATTACTTGAATAGTGATAGCTTTCGTGATTATTTGAAATATTCAAAATTAACTTCACATAGAGACAATATAAAACATAATCTAGCCACAGCCAGAGAAATTATTTAAGAATTAAGATGAAGGAAATAAAAATTTAAGCTGAAAAAAGATAACGAAAAGATTAGCATTAAACTGCACAAGAAGCACCATACAACTTCAATATTGTGGATAAACACCTCTTGTAAATGGCATCAGTTCAAAGTCCCCAGACCCTCCAAGTCACTATTTTAAATGGTAGTGGTAATCTAGATCCGTAATTCAATTAGAAGGAAAAACATTCACAAGTTCTAAAGCTAAAGATATTATTGGGTTAGGTAAGTAGCCTATCATGTAAATCTCACAACTTTAAGTTAGGAAAATAAGGAGAATGAGGAGAAAAGGAAAACAAAAAATAAGGTTTGCAGCCAAAGAAGTTTACCCTGAGAGGATATACAAACATGCATGATGCATTATTGCTAGAAGTTCCCTTTCTCAGTGGGAATGATTGCCAAAATGTTAAATCTACAGAAGTTAATATCAATTATCCAATTTTGTTAGACAAGCATGAGGCAACGAGTTGACCACTGCAAAAAATACATTCCAACTTATTGCCCTACAATGAACTCTTAAGATTTTAAAGATTTCCATCATATACAAACAAACAACAATATTAACCTAGTCTATTAGGCACATTATTTATGAGCAAATATATCAATGCAGTTTATTGGTACATCACCATGTTGAACAAAATATGTGCAGGTCATGAAAGCAGCATTAAAAACACACATCACTATACTGCCACGAAAAAGTAACTAACTCACTCGTATCATGTGCATGGCATCACGAGGTCTTAGCATAGAGTTTCCCTGACTGGGACCGGGTCCAGAGTGCATATTTACACTTGGTATTCCTGACACATTGGAGGACAGCATACTGCTGGTGTTCAGCATCGATGATGAGGCCATTCCTTGAAAACCTGTTCTTGAAACTGGCATGCTTCTATTTGTTCCAGACATAATGCCCATACCATTTCCACCAGGTAGCATACGAACACCACGATCACTTCCAGATATAACTCCAGAGGCAGGCGAGTTGGATTGCTGAATGTTCCTGCCAGAAAGCATTTGATTGTATTGTTGCATTCTATGCTGCTCATCAGCTGGCAAAGACATTTGTGGAACACCATATCTGCCATCCCTGAGACCAAATATGTGAACCAATATATTTTCATCAAAACATGAAACTAGTGGCACAAATGAGATTGAAGACCGCATGTTAGCTTGCTACCTGATAGATGTATTGAGCGGAGGAGATGGTGATGACATATTATTGCCAAGAACCATAGCAGAACTCTGTAATGGAGAATTTGCTCCAGAAGCTGAAAGTACAGATCCTACAGCTCCTTGATTTGATACTGCTAAACTGCTGGAATGAGGAGGTTGATATCCAATAGGCAACCCATCTTGGCCCGATCCAGTTGCCTCACAGAGATCAAGAGGCCTTTAACCAGACAATTTGAAATATAAATGATATTGCCCTCAAGTCCATCAAAACCAATGATCCAATAGCAACACAATAGGAAATTTTTGGAATTAAAAAAAAAAAAAAAATGATGAGAATTAACCAGCTTTAACATTCAGTCCAACAGAACAGCAAAAACTTACGTTAGTAGTCCATTCAGGTTATTTTGACAGACTTGAGAAAGAGCAATACTATGAGAATTGTGGACTGGCACCATCTGTTTTGTATCCTGATTGTCATTCACAAAATACAATAGTAAAGAACAAAGAAAGAGCAAGTCAGGAAAACCTCAAACCAGAAAGAGACAAGCTGAAGTTAAGACAGTGAACTTAGGATGCTTTCTAATCTTAAGATATTCATTCTTTTGGCTCCAAAATTTTGCATAATTTTATGGCTGACAATACTGGACCAAAATGAGAAAAAACCGAAACAAAAGATAAAATTTGGGTTGAAATTCAATTTAAAATTTTTAAAGAGAACAATCGATTATTAAACCAGAGACTAAATAAACAAGATGTTAAAAAAACAAAAAATTAAAAGAGGACCACACACACAAGCAAATGCCAGTTAAATATTATTTCTTTTCAAAATTCAACAAAATACTAAAATTTTAAAGTCCAAGATTATTAATGCAGTCTCATACAATCATTTCAAAGCTCCAAGATAGACTGGAAGCTCTGAGAGACATTTCAGTCTCAACATGCAGCGAAAAACATAAAGGCTCCTAACTATAATATAAAAACCTCAATGAGCTAGAATTGTAAAGTATCTTTGAAAAAGAAAATTTTAAAAAAAAAATGAAAAAGATTATAACAGACTGAATTTCATATGTGGTATAATGAAGGATAACAGCAGAAGTGCAAAACAATTAGCAAACCAGTCTGCTTTCTCAGAACAAGTTGTAAACATTTCACTGGAACAGGGCAAAATATACTGCAGCATGTTTTTTAAAAAAAAGTAATACACCTCCAGGCATTAAGACAAAAATGCACAAAAATCTACAGTCTGAATTATTATGGAGGGGGAAATAACCTCTTTTTCACAAGTAATTAAACCAGACTGTTTGTTCTCAAAACTAGAAACATACCTGGATCTCCAAGGTAAATTTATGACAAAAAATCAAGTACATACCTGAGTCCGCTGGTAATGCTGCTTCTTTCCAATCTTTATAATGTTCTCAAAATGAGACTTGAGGGTATCCTCTTCCATTGGCCCTTGCAAACGTTGAAACAACTGTCTGGCACTTCCCTGAATGAAATGCGGCAAATCAAGCCAATTGAAGGAGCAAAAAACTAGATCAAGTAAATGTCTGAAATTGCATAAGTCGATGCATGCATATATATGTTCGCGTGAGTGGCTGACATAGAGAACCTTGGGAATGCCAGGCAGTGTAGATGGATAAGACTGCGAGGATCCTGAATCATCTGCACTATCAGCACCATCACCACTCCGGTCCATTAAATTCTTGTGACGCTCTTTGCATTCTTTTGGTGTGCGGAAAATGCACTGCACACGGTAACAACTCCAACTTATTATCCCTAGGGGGACATAGCAACTAGGACCCAACAAAAAGAGCAAGAAAGAGAACTACAAAAAACTAACAAGATATCCCACCATGTGACAACTAGATTGTAAATTTGTAATTAGAGCATCTTCAAGATACATCAGCTGAAACCAACAAAAATTGTTCAAGCTAACAACAGCACTTCTAACGCACATACTAACCTTGAACTGAACAGTACTGTTGATTGCATCACTGACAAGCTCCCAATTTGGACCCATATCATGGACAAGGACAACAAGGGCCTGAAAATAATATAATCAAAGTAATGTCAGGTACACAGTTATAAAACCATCAAGAATCAGTGAACATGGTCAAGAAAAGATAATAAAGGGTAAGCAACCTGATCTTCAAACAGTGACCATGAACTTCCAGGACCTGGCTGACCAGCAGTTATCTGCAAGTTTAAATGCTTTCGTTAATAAACTATATCAAAGTAAAAAAAGAAAAGATCAAGGGAATATGTTTGATTAGGCCATTCGAAAAGGAAGAAACAATACCTTCGAGCCTTTAGGTTTTCTGCCACGGTCACGACCACCAATTATTTTAATTAATTTATTTGGGTTTGACATATTACTCACTTGGGATGCAACAGGTGAGGGAATGGACCCACTAGGAGTCATGTCAAAAATACCATCAGGATGTTGCTTGATTATCTTTGGCTTCTTAGCATTATGTTGCACATATAAACCTAAGAAAATGCATTTGAACATGTTAAGTGTGAAGAACAAAACTTGCATTAAACCAACTGCTATAACAAGTACAGAATGCTTTACCACTAGTTCCATTAGAATCAAAGTGATGAAGCTCAAATCTCTTTCTGGAATGATCCCTCTGCCAAAACAACAACAAAAACTAAAAAATGAGGAAGAATTTGGATAACGTTTAGAAGATGACCACTTAGGATGTAAAATTAGATTGACAGTGAAGTGAAGAAGAGACCGAGGCACAGAATTTTAGACAAGATGAATGAGTTTGAGTGTTCTCATCATGTCTAAAAGAATGCTGCAAAGAGAGAGAGACATCTTATTTGGGCTAATATTTAACCCTTTGAAATTTCAAAACTGAAAAGAACTAATAGCTTTTGTTATTTCTCCATTTAAATGATGCAAAAAAGAAAAAGGGCTAAACTGAACCAGTATGTAAGCAATAAACTAAAACGAGGAGAATCATCTAAAATGAATCTCATTCTCATAAGAGGAAAAAGGTGGTAACACACACAAGGACCCCAGATATAATTACTCAACAAGGCTGCGAATTACTAAATTTTATATAACTCAATTAACAAAAACTAGCTGGGTTGGCTTCTGAATCATTTTTCTCTGCTCTGTGCAATAGAGGGCTATATTTTTTAGAACACCAAAGAAGGCCTGAATCATTTTCCCTACCTGACTTTAATTACATGATCTTTGTCCTAACTCTCTTCATTAATTCATTCCCCTACCTGAGTCCAATTTCTTTTACACACCAAGAATTCCCAAGTCTAAGTTTCACATGACTAGCTTTTTATAAAATTTTTTCTCAATTAACACCACCAATACCTTCTTGTGAATAATGTTTCTTATATTATCTGGTAGGAGTTAGGACCACAGATAAATTCCAACAAAATTCTTCACAATTAAATAAATTGGCTAAAATTGCAAAGCTCAAAAAGTTAAGAAAAATCACATTTACAAGAAAAATCTCATTTACACCAATTTAAGAAACCTGACCCAATATACCTAAGAACAGTACCTGTTCATTATGTATGGTAGACTCCAGAGGCCAACCCTGATCATATCCAGAACCCTGCCCCAAAAAAATTTCAGGTCCCTTCAGCAACAAAGAAGGCAAAGTAACAGGAAAAACATCCAACTAGTTCCAGGGAGTAAGTACAGTGCAAGTAACTGTTAAAACAGAAGAAATCCAACATACAGGGTGCTTGAGCTTCTTCTTTTTAGGTTTCCTTGGTGTTTCTGCAGAGTCATAAGGTAAGTGCCTTTCATAGTCCCCAATTGACTCAACCTCCATGCTTTTCTGGATTTGGGATCCTCCATGAAATGTACTTTGGTCATCCTGAAAAGAGTTTGTATCCCCACTTGAGGCATCCGTTTTTGCTGGAGTCTGCAGAATCCCAGGAGGAGCTGCACCATTAAAAGGACTTATAACCCTATTATGCCTGGAACCAGTCCGTACTCGTTTTGTGGGAATTGAACCAGCATTAAGACTATTAGCAGGCCTTTTTCCCAACAACATAGATTGTTGAGACCTAATTGCACAGTTTCCATAAGTCAACTCAGCTCCCATTTCATATGGCCTGGTATATGATTTGTTTAAATGCTTCCTATTCTTCTGATTGGCTTTTGATGACTTGCTTGCTTCAAAGGATCCACGTATATAATATGTACTTGTTTCTCCTTCATCCTCATCATATGCCGAGACATGATATCTAAACTCTGAATTCGAAAAAGATGTTACAACACAGCAATACTCAAAAGTAAGGAACCAAGAGGCCCACAGTCTAAATGTTACCTGCTCCAGCATCATATGCAGACGTCTCAACTTCATCTTGCACACCACTCCCAGTTTTCTGACAACATTTCACTCAATAATAAGCAACAATGACCAGATAAAACTGATCTCAATTGAAGCAGATAAATTATGAACAATACACTTAAAATGGACATGGTGAACATTTTTTTCATTCATTATCACTCAGTTCTTTTAGTTCTTATAAAATTGTCCTCTATCAAAAAAGGTAGTCAAATATGCATTTAGAGACCCATACTACCTCAGTCTGCACCAAATAAGATTCAATGGATTTTCTGTAGGCTTCAATAGAACCTGGGGGCACAGCATACAAGAGGCTTTCCTGAGAAGAGAAGGACAAACAAGTGTTAATGTTAAACATGCAACACAAGGTATCCATAAAATAGACAAATAAATCTCAACACAAAGGAATCATCACACAAGATATAAAATAGACAATCAAGAATGAAGATCTGAAAGTAATAGATACAAACGGAAAAGTTTCAACCCAAAAATTAAACTTATTTAGGTAACAAAAACCAGGAAATGAGGAAAGATTAAGCCCATACTTCTGTTAGGTGTTCAGCCCAAGACATCTCCATAATGCCCCAGTCAAACATTCTGTCAGGAGTTGCTGGTGCTTCTGCTTGTTGGGATGGAAAAGGAGAGCTGTTATATTTCAAAAACCTTAGAGCATATCCCTCAATGTTTTTCCTCGGATGCTTTTGGTCAAATTCTTTACTTGTATCCTGCTCGTAACACATGCACATAAGATAAGAAAAGAAGTTTGACATTTAAAAATTGTGAAGTATCTGATCACCATGCATCACCCCAGCCAATTGTGAACCAGATTTTTGGAAGTTTAAAGGCTTATGCAAGTTTAAATGAATGTTTAGGATAAGATCCATCAAATCTATAAAGTATGTTTTCATTTACCTGACTGGAAAAGACTACACTAATCATGACATCAACCAACTTCAGAAAGTATATGCACTTACAGATTCGATAAAAAATCTAAAATGTATATTTTACAAAGTATCATGCCCAAATGGCTGTATGTGTTCCCAGTAACATCTTCTCCACAGTTTAAAATTGACCATACTATTTGGCATCATAGGAAGTGAAAAATCTCACTTATCTAATAAGCAAAAATATATAAATGATAAATCAGTTAACATTACGAATTACCAGAAATTGAAATTGAACAACATGAAAGAATCTGTGCACCAGCTTTGAATAAGTTAATAAGTTAATGAAAAATGATTATCATTTTATCATCAACATTTTCATCAGACACAAGGCAACAGCATGTCTATATTAAAATTATAACACTAGGTGTCTATCATTAGATAGGCTGAAGTAAGACAAGGATCAAGTATATAACCAGCACCAGATCAAGTTCTCCAGCTTTGTCCTTAGAAACTTCATTAGTATCAGCAACACCTGATCCGACCAAACCATGCCCACTGTTCTTCAGACTGACACTTGCCTCCTCATTGTTTAAAAGCAGCTGCACTGAATGCCAGAATTGCATTACAGAATTAGCCAGTGATAAAGCTACTTTTTTTTGCTTCCATTGCTGACTTTGCTCATCAAATCTCAAATGAGAGGCAAAAGCAATACGGCGAGATATCTGAGCAGCAGCAGTCATCTTCCAAAGACGTTCCTACAAACAAAGTGGAATCAAAAAAGCTCTTAAGAAATATATTGTTCCAAATGGGCATTGATCATAATTTTCATCATTCAGCTCAAATTGATCAGACAAATAAAAAGCTTCTAAGAACAAGACAGTAATTTAACAGGATGTATTATTAAATGCAAGACCTGAGCAAAATCATTTGCCAACCATGCCATTTCCTCAAGGACAAAATCCCAGTGAGACTTCCGACAATGCTCAGAAGGTAAGCTACCAACAGATAGCTCAGCAATTCTTTTCCGCTTAGCCTGTTCAGCACAATTAATATATTAAACCTTAACCCAAACAATCTACTTGAGTCTAAGAAACCATTGTCGTTAAGCAATATAAAAGATAAAGAAATCACCTCTATAATCCGTGCCTCTTCCAATATTGAATCTTCACGTTCTTTGTCCATCACTTTTAAATGTTTATCAGAATCAATTTGAGGATCAGTGGCAGCAGCATCATTTGCCACCAACAAAGGAGTCTTGGGAAGATCAGAAATGGAAATATCCACCATCCCTTGAGGCTTACCAGCCAAACAGTTATCTGTTCTGGAGTTTAGATGGTCACCTGACACATTACTAACTCTCATTTCAGCTTCTGAAGCAATACAGTCATTTTGTTGAAATCCTTTAACATTGGAAGGATAACCCATCTCATTTTGCATGTCAGATCTAATCTCCTCATCTACTTTCACAACAGGGTCATTGAGAGAGTGGTCTTGCGATGCACCACCATTCTTCTCATTGATTGTAGCAGTGTCGTCAACAGGCTTGATTTCATTCTTTTCCTGTACAATGTTACCATCAGGTAACTTCAGTTTCACTTCTAATTCTGATGTTTGATCAACAGACTTTCCATTAGCATCAACATTTTTTGTAATGCACATATCATTATCATTATTCACATCCAAATTTAGGCTGTTTTGAGTGCAAGAAGATTCTGAATCTAATCTCTTTGCTCCAATTGCTGCATTACTATTTTGTTGCCCTGCAGTTGGGACTGTTCTTCTCTCTCTTTTGGATTCACTAAACCCATTCAGCTGACTTGAACTAATTTCCTTCTCAGAATTTGTAGCAGCTGCACCGGATGGACATTCAAGACCAGCTGAAATTACCTGTTCCTTTCCTCTAGAACCATCAGGTTCATCAGAAGCCAATTTGTTAGAAGATTTAAGAGGCTCTACTTGTGTGAGTTCTTTTTGTTGGACATCTGTCAAGCTCTTTGAAGGAGTATTCAACTTACATTCATCAGATTGTTCACCTTTCAACATACTAGTTGTTACTTCAAGAGTCTGCATGTTATCCAACTCTGCATTCAACTGATTATCAGAAGTTATCTTCTTTGAAACCAAATCACCATTTGAAGTTACAGATCTGGGGTTAGAAATGGAGAGAACATTCTGTTCCTTCTGGTTGTTTGTTTCAGATATCGGCGCCTTCACATCCTTTGAGCCCCCACGTGCAGGTAAAGAAGAACCATGACCACCACGGCTCTGAACCATATCTGTTGAACTAGATCTAGCACTGTCTCTATTGATTTTGGATCTATTCCTACGAGCATAAGGACGAAAAATTGCAGAATCTTCCGATTCCTTGGCATTTTGAGTCCCATCCATCTGAGAAGATTGTTCTGATGGAGCAACACTACTCCTCTTACTACGGTGCATAGAGTTTCTTTTGCCTTCATGTAATTCATTTTCATGATCAAAAAGTATGAGATTATCAGCAGTATGGTGTTCACACACTGTAAGAACCCCTGGCCTACCACTACTTTCTACAGAGTCACCATGAGGTGAAGCAGTCAGCGCAAAACTACCTTTTGCTTCGCTGTAACAACAAAGGGGAGGAGGAGCATTAGCAGGTTTGTTAGAGAATAACTTAAAAGCATAATCAAGTCACAAGCGGCATAAAAAAGAGAATACCTGGTAACAAAATGTTCTGCCTGCTGATCAGTGAGCGAGGTAGACTGGACACTAAGTGAAGCTGCATTTCCAAATTTGAAATCTAAGGGATTGCCACCCTGATAGAAAGAAGCATTTGTGATGAATATTCATTTATTTATAATATAGATATATATATATATAAAGGATAAAATTTCATACTTTTTCAAGAAATTCTAGTTCCCTTCTCCTTTCCTCACGAACATCATACTCCTGTCTGTTATCAATGATGATAAAAGAAAGCAAATGTGTTCAGACTAGCAAATGAAAAATTGTAGGGTGAAAATAAATAACAGGGGGTAAGTGAAATAAAAATGGAATGCAATTATCACCTAAGCTCTGCTTGAGCCTTCTCTATTGCTGCTCTGCGCGGAGAGGTTTTGACACCAATCCCAACTCCGCCATCAACAACCCCTCCCATGGAATCAACCTCAGCATTTACTACAAGAGCAGATCCTGAATCACATCCATGCATCCCTACCTTAATCCCTATGGGGTTGCAACTCCCATTGATTTGAAACTAATAATATCAAATCCAATTCCTAAAAGCAAATTCACAAAACAAAGTCATATCAAAATGAAATAAATTATTAAAAAAAAAAAATCACAATGAATGAATTCAAGATCAGAGCAAAAAATAAACAACTATTTTTCCCCTGAAACAGGTTGCAGTTAGTCACGCTCATTAGCACTAAAAAGAAAATTATATTTATCTCAAAAAGAATCAACTCGAGCCTTTAATAGTTAAGACAGGAATGGCAAGTGTGAATATGTATGCAGCCATGGAATACAAGAATGACACATGATTGTCAATATCACATGAATTATAAGCCTTTTACAGCTTGAAGGATATATGCAATTGTCTACCTAGCTTCCTTTGTACATCACCAGACTTAATTCAATTGCTTCCCAATCCAAATTATCTCAGAGAGTGGTTATGCAGCTCAGTCACAGCATAATATATGCAGCACACCTCACCACTTATCACCAAACTTCTATGAGAAGGTGCTGCCTCTATGCTCAGACACTTCATAATATGTATATATGATTAAACATAATATCAACAACTGCATATAAAGAGCTCAGTACTAACATCTCTCCCCCTGAATGCTCTCATGGATACCTCCAAACCATTGACAACAAGTTTAAAACACTAGCAAAGTAGCTAACCATTCGCCAGAAGAAAAACACTAACTAAACAATAAAATATAACCCCAGTTTGTCCTCCATAGCACTTAACATCCATCTCCATGCAAATAAAGACGTGAACAACGCCACTTACCCCGTAATCCATAAGCATTCAATCAAAATGCGCACGAAGAACCACAAAAAAAAACAAATTCACACCCACTGACCTCACACAAACCCTAAACGCATTCAACCATGCAAATTGTGCCCTAATTTCACCAAAACAAAATCCTAGGGTTTCCAAAAGCTCCCAAACCCAGCCAAATTAAGCGCAGAATTACCTCAATTGAAACCAGAGACACGAAATTAGAAGCTAGGGCACAGCACTGAGAGCACCCGAGACCTTCGTCCCTCTGCAACACTCCCTGCTCTGTCCTAGGGTTTTGAACCTTCCTCGTCCCTCAATCAAAACGACTGGAATTCGCCCGAGAATTCGACAGTTCCCTGCAAATGCAAGCCATGAACGCGTTGTCGAGTCCCTCTCTAATGGAATCGTGACTCTAATTTTCGTTTTTCGTTCTGTAAAAAATTTTGGTTTTTGATTTTGAAGTTTGTTTTGTTTGTTTGTTTTGTCTGTTTGTTTTTTTTTTCGTTCCTCTCTGATATTACTGGGCTTGGGTTTCTACGAAGACGACGACCTCGTACTGGGCTTCATCTTTTTCGATCCATTTTGAGCCTTATATTGACAAAACAATCCCACTTTATTTTCATTTTCACCTTTTTTCCCACTTTCTTTTCTTTTGGTGAAAGTTACAATTTTCATGAAAAGTTCTCTATTTTTTGCAGTTGTATCAACCAAAAAAATATAAATTATTAAATAAAGGATAGTTTCAATATTGAGGGTTTATTCTTATCTAATAATAAGTATTATATATATAGTTTGATGCAAATTAAAAGATACATTACTTTTTTATTTCATGAATATCAATAAAATTAAAAACTTTTACTATATATATAGATAGATTTTAAACATGGAAACAACCAGGCTTAGTCTAAAACTTTATGATTTCAAACTATTTTCTCATACTTTCAACTTTGGAGCAGATAAACCTTAAAAGCATGCCTATAGGGTTCATTTAGTAACATTGTTAATTTAGTCTTTGGTATTATAAAATTTGAATAATTAAAAATGATATTTAAAGCCAAAATTAAAAATTAAATTTGAAAACGTGTGGGTACCATGCAAGTTTTTTTGCTAATTTATTAAACTTTTTATTTT